CGCCTCAGCAGGTGACAGTTTGGAAACATGCGCGCGCTCCCACGCACACACACACACACACACACACACACACACACACACACACACACACACACACACACACACACACACACACACACACACACACACACACACACACACACACTCTGACGTCAGCTGCTCTGGGCCTTCTCCCCTGGGTGCTACTAGAACCCTTTGTTTCCCCCCCTCCCTTCCCCCCTCTCCTCTCCATCTCTCCTTCCACCCCTCCTCACTCCTCTCCCTGTCCTTTGTCCCTAGGAATAGCTGTCCTGCTTACTGCCTGATTGGAATTCACTGCACTATGGGAAGTCACAGGGGAGGGCTATTGTCGAGTGTTTGTGTGTGTTTTTTTTGTTGGTAAATGATCATGTGCTTGCATATTTCTCGAGTTAGTTTGGCATGTGTGTATCAATAAGACATGTGGGGGCACTGCTGTGAGACGAGAAGCAGTTTAGTAGTAAGCAGCGACATAGAAATTTTATGTCATGATGAAGTATTTATTGTTTTGTCTATTTACATTGATATATGATATGATGACTAATGCCAAACCAGGATATATGATGATACCAATAGTTGCTTGGATTGAGGAATATGGCCAACACGGTTTGTTCATACCAGAAAGCTCGTTTTTTTATGTATATTTATTTTCAGTATACATGGTTGCAGGCATGTGTGTGAACACTATCTGTACAGTATTTGTTAGCGAACATTTTGTATGTATTTTCCAAAGTGTGTTATCTGAGGGAATGCATGTGTGCGTGTGTGTTCATGCGTGCTGCTGCTCCCAGCATGAATGCGAGAATTGGGGTTAAGGAACAAGAGAATTCCTCCCTCGTATTCCCTCCTTTCCTCTCCTCCGGTCTGTCTCTCCCTCCGTCTTTGTCTCTCCCTCTCTCTCTCTCTCTCACCCGTGCAAGTGGGATGCCCTGAAATATTAACCAATCTGCTCTTCATTTTTCAAATACGATAGAAAACACACTGCTAAATAAGTCAGGAGCGAGGCCTGCTGGGGAGCAAGCACTCAAATAAACAACGAAAACAACACAAACAACAACAATGAAGAGAAGGAAAGATGGAGAGGGAAAGAAGAGGGGGAGGGAAACTTGTGCGCTTGTGATTGCCAGCCTGGGTCGCTGCAATAAAGTGGTGGGGTCCTAAAAATCCACCTTCAGCTTAGCAGTGGTGATGTGAAGTCATATGACCAAATTGTCACTTTATAGCCTTATAACGTTAGCTTTGTACCTCTGCCAATTGCATTTATGCTTTTAAAATCATAAAACGTAAGTTTGCCACAAAACTTGTTTTCTGCAATTCTACGAAATCCAATGGAAAAATCCCATGGCTCTTTGTCGATTTTTGCGACACAAAAATTCTGGGTCGGCCTACAAATATACGTCCTGAATGCACTACTACTACTACTACTGCTACTACTACTACTACTATTAACTCATCAAGTCATCGTATGTCATCTCTTACTGTTTTCCATGGAGCCAATTTAAAAAAATGTCAATATTCTGACCTTTTTCTCTAATTTCAATTCCAATTAGAGCAGCTAGATTGGAATGAATACTGAACAGTGTGTGTGGGGGCTTGGGGCAGACTGAGGGCTTGCTTTACCTCCGTGCTGCTGGCTAGTTGCCGGAGGGAGCGCCCCGCTTGGGTAATGAACTCCCCCAGGAAGAGGCACTGCTACGTGGGGCTGCAACCCTCCTGTGTTCCCCTCACTGTTCCTGGGATAGAGTTGGTTCTATGGCTTCTTTTGCTGGGGGAATGGGTAGAGAGCATTTGGGGGTTTTGGGTGGTAGGGTGAGTGGATATTTCCCCCCCTTGTTGGTTGCCAAACCATGCGGCCTGCGAGTGAGCAGATAAAATTGTCAGTGTATGTGTGTGTGTGTGTGTGTGTGTGTGTGTGTGAGTGAGTGAGTGAGTGAAGAACTGGTGGTGCCTGTGTATTGAGATTTGTATTCGCCTACGTTCTGAGTATTTAGTGTGCTTGTTGGGGAGTTTGTCCTCAGAGAATAGTTAGTGTTGTGGCGGGGTGCAGTGACAGCTGCAGAGGGGGGCCGGGTGGCTGACTGCTTGCTGGCTGATAAGGGGGGCTCCACATCAGAGACACGACGAGAAGACTAATAACTCTGCAGTGCAACACACACATATACACACATAGAGAATCTCATAGAAGAGATACGGTGTGGGAACAAGTTCAGGAAAGCTAGATAGGGCGGTGGGACTGTTAATCTGTGAGGAGTAAATAATATGTGGGGGCCAATGGAATGTGTAATATATGTGACATTTTGTTTAACCAACGTGTTCATCCAAAACAACTTACAATTGCTAAATTGTGACGCACCTCAATGTACCTCATAATTAAATCCATTCCAATGGAATGACGAGCTTTTCTCGTTCTTTATTGATGTAATAGCCCCCGCCAGTCCTTAATTATTCATATTTTAGTAATACAATCCAAGTTAACGGTTCAAACATTAGTACATAATAAAACTCCCGAGGCTTCCCTTTTTAATTTAATTCCTCCGTTTAAATTAATTTTGGGGCATGCCTGTGCTTTTAGCGCGCTGCTCCGCAACAGGGGGGGAGGGGAGGGTTGGTGGAGGGGAAGAGGGGGAGATGGAGGGATTGCTCTGGGAGATGGATGTGCTGCAGGTGGAAGCCATACAGGTGTGTATGCGAGGGGGGGGCAGGGAGTCATAGAGAGAATTACTGACAGATGGAAGGTGGTGAGGAAAATGAATTTAATGTTCACATCCAATAACAGAACAATAGTGTCACTGTCATGTACAATAAAGGTTATTGATTTAAAAGATGATTGACAGTATGCTTAGGTAGTTAGTTAGAACACTTAAGACTCTGGGTGTTTCTCAATGTCGAGTATGCTTGCTTGGTAGCACATGTCTTCCGAGCGTCTTGCTTCAGAAGCGAGGCAAGAATACTTCCTGGCATTCGTAAAACAAAGAGTGGAACAGGCGAGCAAGTTTGCAGGTGTGCATCACATGAGAGGCCCCGACACAGATTTGGGGAAATTGGTCCGTGCGCAAAGCATTGTTTGTGGGGATTTTAAGACCGTGGAGTCTACAGATGTGCAGCCTCGAAATGTCTCCAAACGAAGTACGCCGGGCTCGGTAGAATTCCAAGTATGCTGGACATTGGAACAGTCCTTCGGCGGCACTCAATGACGTAGTATGCTTGAAATAGTGGCTCTGGAGCAGCTTTACTCGAGATTGAGAAACACCCCGTGTCCACATAGTACCCTTTTTCATGACGATATCTTGACAACCTATCCCAGATTTTATTAGACAGACTCATCACGACCTTGCCTTTTATCTATCTATTTGGACTACTTTATAGTTGTGTGACATAAACCAGAAGTTTCTTGCTGTATAAATGAGCCGCTCAACCTGACAGCCGTAGAGCGAGGAGGATGGTCCACGTAAGGAGATACAAGTACAACACGAGCAGCTCAAACAGCAGTTCAGGGTTCATGGGCCGATCCGCTCAAACAAACAGGCTTTGTTATGATAGTTTCTATCTGAAACACGCAGTCAGAAACAAGGTTATCCTCCAATTTGTACAGTGACGTCACCATCAGTGCTTTTTGGAAGAGTATTTTCAATTTGAAGCACTAGGACACTACAAAAAGAGTGCTTTTTATCGAGGCAGCAGCATGTGAAGGCATGCACTCTCTCATCATTGGAAACATTTTGAAAAATAAGCTAGTGCTTAGAAAAAGTGAGTTCAATTCATACCTCAAGGTCAATAAAAGCTTTGTTTCACCACACCAGGTCGGGTTGTACAAGTTGAAAAATAAAGAAAACAGTTCGTCTAGTTAGAAGTTTTATTTGGCCCCAATATCGAACATATGAATATATATTTGACTCTGATTGCCTCTCAGTAGCCTCATCATACTTTGACTAGCAATCAACAATCGGAACAATGAAAGATGTATAAAGGAGGAAGAAGAGGGGAGACCAAATGGGGGGTGGTAGTGAGCAGGTGTAGAGAGAGAAAAAAAGAGATTGGAGAATGATGGAGGGATACATGGGACAAACAGAAGGGGAGGAAGCGAAAGAGATTAGCCGTGCTCATGCTAGGGGGTCCCCTCTAAAGGCATGAAAGCACAATGGACCGCCGTCAGTCAAAGAGGCATTTCCATTTCTCTGCTAGCACTGCTCTATTTCACTGGTAGTGTCTGAAATGCAGAGACAGAGTTTGCCTGGCCTCATATGTTTTAACTTTTTGTGTGTGTATATGCGTGTCTTCAGCT